CTTTGGCCTCTGTTTGTCAGAGGCTGGAAAGGGATGGCAGGAGACAAATCGCTTGATCATTGTCTTCGGTCAACCCTCTCTGGGGTACCTGGTGCTGGCCACTGTCGGTAGACAGGATACTGGGCTAGATGGACCTTTGGTCTGACCCAGTACAGCCGTTCTTATGTTCTTATGTTATGTTCTTATTTTGTTTTGCCCTTTTCTGAACCTTTTCCAAAGCAGATATCTTGTTTTTCAGATGCGGTGACCACATTTGTACACAGTGTTCAAGGTGTGGGCCCTGGATTTATATAGAGGCAGTAAGATATTCTGTCTTATTCTCTCCCTTTTTTCCATGACTCCTAATATTCTATTTGCTTTTTTGACTGCTGCTGCACACAGAGTGGATGTTTTCAGAGAACTAGCCACAATGATTCCAAGATTTCTCGAGTGGTTATAGCTAAATTTGTGCATTTTATAGAGGTGCCTGGGACAACAGGATGGATACAGACCTGCTCATGAATTACTGATGGTATGCAGACAGATTACATTCCTAAACTCAAGAATGAGTCATTTCCTGGTTTGAGAACAGTCTCAGCTGGTTAGCCCTAATATGGCTGTTCTGCCCACCCACACCTTCCCATGTAGGCTGGGCATCTTCCACGACACTGCTGAGCTCAGCCTCTCTGGACTGCTTTCCTTGCGTCCTTGTGAGCTGCATGTCACAGCCTGACGGGAGTGCAGTGGGGAGAGGAATGACGCTGCTGATCTGCTTAACACGCATTTTGGTTAGCAAAAGTTCCATTGGAGCAGCTGCATCGCTTAGTGTGAAACAGCCTCACTGCATATTTAGAAGTGGAAGGAGATCTCAGAGCATCTGCATTGTCAACAGTCCGTCTTTCTAACTATTCTGATCCTGAAGGAGCCCAAAGCATTATGAAACTGTACATAAAATGGAATCACTTCAACCCCCGAGAAGCACCTACCCTGTGGATGGAACTCCAGGTGTAACAGCAGGCAGCAGCACTATCAATGAACTATGCCTGGTTATGTGGACAACAAGGTCGAGGCTCTACATTGAACCACTCTTCCTTCTGCATATTATAAACCCAGCCCTTTAAAGCCAAGGCCAGGCAGGTTCTTGAATAGGGCTGGTCAAGTGGCTCTCACCCTCCAATGGAGGCTCCTGGCTAGGTTTTGAAAGCCATCACAAACAGAAGGACCGAACCCCCACCAAGATCTAGAATCCCCTGCACTGGGCATCCAGGTCTGGGAGCGCAAGAGTTTTACTTACGGTAAGGAAGACGCTGCAAAGCAGACGATGGAAATCAGACCCAACCAAATGCTGGCGAAGTCTCGGGAATCCTGGGCACACTCACTGAACACATCCCACACCCACTGCGAGCCATTGGGACAGTCTGAAAAATTCCCTCCTAGGGAACTTCGCCAAAGCTGGGAGTGCATAGCAGTCAGTCAGCAAGGGGCCAGGACTTGGAGGAGATGGCCGAGATCAGACAGCGGGGGATGGGGGGGTGTCTCTTTCTCCAGAGGCCAACTTGGCACCTGTTGGAATAAATGGGGAAAGTAAAACAACTGATCAAACGGCTCCTTTGAGCTCTAGCGCTTTGGGGCAAAGCTGGCTCATGTTGCCGTTAAACAGTTAATACTGAATGGGTCATTAGTAGCCTAGAGACGAGGCAGTCACAGCTCAAAGTCCTTTATCAGCAGGCCTGTCTCCAGAACTAAGCCAAGCCAGCACTAAGTTCACTATAAACACACAAGGTCTCCGGGGCCTGTCCTCAGCAGTACACAGGATTATGACTCATGTCCCCTCACTCAGCTTGTGCTTCCCAGAGCAGGTCTTCTGAGGAGACGCCGTCTGTTCCCTACTCACCTATCTGGCGCCGGTTATCTGTGCACATCACAAGAGATGTCACAAGTGCACCCTTTAGCAGCTACTGAATGCCTATTTCTCCCTGACACCCCCTCGGACCTCTCAATTCCCTTCCGAACCAAGGGTCAGTGTTGAGAAAAAGAACAAAGCCCACAGCTAATCCCCAGAACTGAGCCCGAGATGCCTGCTAACCTGCCAACTCATGCTGGAGAGTCTCATCACCACACTGCCACACGTCAGAAGACCCGAGTGTCTCTTCCTTGAAATACCAGCTCTGAACCTCTTCTCACTGTGGACTCAGAAAGGGGTAAGCCCCCTGTGACGTAGTGGAGGGGCTGTGTCCTGCAACCCGGTGTCCTGCTGCACTGTGATTTGTGATTCCCACTGACACCCACATGTGTATTGGCCCAGACCCCTAGGCCCAGCCTGGGCAGTTAGCAAAGCTCTTTCCAGGGGAAGAGACAAAGGGAGGGAGGCAGAGACGAACACCAGGGCTGCTTTTGCGGAAAAACTTGCCAGCTGTCTACACTGGCCGCTTGAATTTCCGCAAGAACACTGACGATCTCATGTAAGATCGTCAGTGTTCTTGCGGAAATACTGTGCTGCTCCCGTTCGGGCAAAAGCCCTTTTGCGCAAATCATTTGCACAAGAGGGCCAGTGTAGACAGCACAGAACTGTTATCCGCAAAAAAGCCCCCATCACGAAAATGGCGATCAGGGCTTTTTTGCGCAAAAGCGCTTCTAGATTGGCACGGATGCTTTTCCGCAAAAAGTGCTTTTGCGGAAAAGCGTCCATGCCCATCTAGATGCTCTTTTCCGAAAATGCTTTTAACGGAAAACTTTTCCGTTAAAAGCATTTCCGGAAAATCATGCCAGTCTAGACGTAGCCCAGGTGTCAGGGGAAGGGTCAGTTGCTGGCTGGAAAACATGAAGGGAACAACCTAAACGGAGGGTCTTGCGGGGGAGGAGGGGAGGGCCATGGACCCCCAACCTCAGGGGTCTGAGGCATCCTGGCCTTGACTCCTGTAGCCACATCACATCTGTGCTGTATCCTGGAGAAGCAATAAACCCTCTCTATACTACTGGCTGGCAGAGTCTGTTCTTGCTGCTACGGGGCTGCAGGATCAAGGGGAACCCTGACGTGTTGTCACCCCCCCTCCTTCCCCTTCCGAAGCCAGCAGAGCTAGACCAGAGTGAGCAAGAGGAGAACTGGGCCCACAGTTTGGACATTGCTATGGCAATGCCAGTCAGACATTCTGCTGACCAACGGTGCTGGCACCAGCATGGCATGACCTGTGGAAGATCTGTCTCTGGCAGTGGTCCCCAACGCAGTGCTCGTGGGTGTCATGGTGCCCGCCAGGGCATTTGTGTGTGTCCGCCAAGTGATCAGGGCTGGCCCAAGCCATTCTTGAGCCTCCAGGCGGGTGGCGCATGCGCAGCCCCAAAAGGTTGGAGCCCACTGGTCTATGGAAAACTCATGGTGTGTCAGGCAAGGGGCAGCCTTCAGTTGCACTAAGTTTTGCGAACAGACTGTGTGTGAATTAGCATCATAAGTGTCTTCTCTCCACTAGGGATGATAAAATTAGATCAATCAACTAATCGAGTAGTCGATGGAATTTCCATTGACTAGTCGATAAGAGCGCTACATTTCAAAGCAGAAGCAAGAGCCTGCTGGGCTGTTGCTACACTTGAAAGGAGGAAGTGCAGTGCAGCATTCCACCTTCAAAATGTATGAGAGCCCCACTGGGGACTCTTGTACATTTCAAATGCAGAACACCGACGCTGCACCCCTGCCCCCTCCCACGCAGCTGGAGGAAAAGTGGCTTTTAAGCCAGCTCCCCCTAGCACCCACTCTCCTTCCCCCACTTGCTGACTCTGATAGAGGCAGCAAGTGGGAGGGAGAGAAGTGGGGTGAAAGCGACGGGTCAACTAGTGTGTCGACTATCAGATAAGCTTTTGCTTATTGGATAGTCAACTCCCCACCCTCTTATGCCACTTTGTTCCCTCTGAAAGGCTCCATCCCAGGGAGCCCATCTGCTCAGCATCTTTTTACTGGAGTGCGTGGGTAAGATTCTGTGGCCTGCATTGTGCTGGGGGTTATAATAGATGATCTTAATGGTCCCTTCTGTCCTTAAAGTCAATGAGTCTATGGCTGAGTCTACACTGGCATGATTTTGCACAAATACATTTAACGGAAAACTTTTCTGTTAAAAGTATTTGTGCAAGAGAGTGTCTATACTGGCATGTGCCTTTGCGCAAAAGATTTGCTACTCAATACGCAGCCCATAGGCCGCACACAGTCCTAGTGCATTAATGAACTCATCTCTCAGCTGACTAGTAGGATAGTGATAGAAATGTAGCCGTGTTAGTCTGGTGTAGCTGAAACAGAATACAGGACTATGTAGCACTTATGTTGTGTTCTGACAATGAACGAGGGCTATGCTTATTCTCTCCCTCTAGATTTTGGCTAGAAGCTGGGCTCTCCCCTTCCTTTTCGTGAGAGGACTTATCAAAATGCTGACAACTTCGCAAACTACAACCAGGTAGGCTCCACGTGCTATTGCTGTGCCGTTTCCTGAACCTCCTGCAAAGCTTTTCCTATATATCACACAAGGCGGACAGAGACAAGAATTTGTCTAGCCATCCTACCCATACAAAAGGATCTTTATTCAAAGTTAAATCTCTTAACTCATGTCTGAGACAAGCTCAGTTGAGGTCAGTACCTTTATACCTCACTTCTACTTAGATACTGGTCAGAGAAGTTTCCACAGCTATTTATTACTTCTACACCCAAGCCAAGAACAGCTTGGTTACAAACTCCTAAAGTTGTTCCTTAAAGTACAACAGGAGCTGAAACTTGCACTTCAGCTACTTTTTGAAGCCTGGATCAAGGTCTCGGTTTCATATTCAGCAGACTTGTACGGCACCAGCTCATTTAGCAGAGTGTTTGTGACGCTTTACACAAACACACACAAGACTGAAATTACACCCCACGAATAGGAGATTGCATAGCAGCTGATTAGGTGTCCGGGACCCACCTATTAATTATTCTGCTTGCATCAGAAGTGTTCAAAGCACTTTACCAAATAAACAACCTCAGAAGTATTGGTGAGGTTGCTATTCCCATTTTACAGATGGGAAAACAGTCATGGGCTTATCCAAAGCCAGGCACAAGAGACAAATCTCTTAAATCCCTGACCTACACTTCATCTATCAAGCAGTGGTTGTCAAGAGAGGAAAAACAGTAACGGCAAAGGGGAGGTACTAGCTAGTACTTACAGAAGTACGCTGCCTGCAATGACAGTTTAATCACTTCCCTTTTTGGAGTCCCAGCTCTGGGGGGTCTGTTCAGAGGCTGCCCTTGTAGTCTAGATGTGAGACCCAAGTCTGCAGTGGCACACGACGTCCCCTCCCAGCATACAAGCCTACGTAACACTTGAACAGCACCACCCCTCTGATGATTCAGAACTGCCCAGCAAGCTCTCAAACCAGTGACAGGAAAATGCAACCTTACAGCAAAATGAAACAACCATCTGATTTATTAAATGAAAGATTAACCAAGGCATACAAATGCTGGTGCAGAAGAAAAGGTGGGGTCCTCAAATACTATTAACTAATAATAAATTGGAAAAGTAGGTTCAAGTCATTCTGGCCAGGCAATGATGGAAGATGTCTCCCATCCTGTTCTTTCTCAGCTGTCTTCTCCCACCTACAATTACGCATGCAGGAACATTAGGGTTGCCATGTGTCCGGTATTGAACCCGACAGTCTGGTATGTTCACTTCCTGTCCTGTAAAAAAATTCAGAAAATACCAGACACCTAAAATGTCTGGTACTTTCTGATTTTTTTCCTGGCCAGAAGGCGAAAATCCCAGGCAGCCTGGCAATCCTATTGTTTACCAGGCTCCGCAGGGGAGCTGTCTGGCCTGGCACAGGGAGGCAACATGATAGGCGGCCGCCAGCAATCTGTTAGGTCCAAAAAGCCTCACTCGGTTTTTAAAGGGGCCATGCTTTTGTTTGTTTGGCTCAAACTTTTTCCTGGTGTGTTTTTTTTGTTGTATTTTTTTTCTGAAACCATCTGGCCACCCTAACTAGGGTGCAGGGTAGAAATACCAGCGTACGGTTCTGCAGGTAGGCAAAATGCACACTCCCTGTTGGAGTTTTGGACAGAGCTTTCGTCACCCAGCCTGGAAGTTAGAGAGAATCATACTATAGTTTGTCCCATTTCTCAGCCACTATAGGCCCACAAGAGTCAGTTTACTGGCCTATGACAAGGATAGGGCTTGATGCCAGGCAGCATCTTGTTAGATCTCCCTGCAAGAGATTGTTCCCCCAACAGGGTGGGAAGGCTACTGCTGCTAATGCAGGAAATATGCATCTATTTATGTGGTTTTCCAGGGCTTTCCTCTGAATTAAACCCTTCAGGATCATTATTCAGAGCTAGAAGTGACTGGTCAGCATGGGAGCTAGGACATTTAAAATTAGCATTGTGGAGGGTTTTTAACTGAATGTGGGGGGAGCTGGGGATCACATGTTGTCCAAGGGATAGAGGAACAAGGGTGGACTGCACTGTGTGAGCCTCTCCCTGGCTAGTGTGGCAAAAGCTCGTTTGCATCCCCCTTTCATCCCTTCAGTCCACTAATCCCTGGCGAGATTGCTGTGCCTGGGCATTGCAGGCGCCAACGCCAACTCGACCTTATCACACGCGAGGAAGCCACCTCCTAAGCCTTGGAAAGGGGGTGAAGAGGGACAAAGGGTCTTTCCTCCCCGGGGAGGCAGTTTCCTTCTGACCGGTCTGCAACAGGAGACCTGGGACTTGTCCCTGCCTTTGAGCAAGCCACTTCCCCCGCCCCCCGTGCCTCAGTTTCCCCACCTGTAGCGCTGAGGGTCCGGACGCTGCTGTTCCTAGCTGGGGCTGGGAGGGTTCTTCCCCGGAACGTGGGCTGGTTGCTCCGACCCCTGCGCCCGCCCCAGAGGGCTCGCTGGGATCGGGGGCCGGAGGGGAGATGCAAC